TCCTCGAACCGTATCTGCTTTCCTCGTTCCCCTCATCGATCATCCTCGACCGCCTCCTCCAGCTCGCCCCAAGAAATCGAGAACGGCGACAAGGTTCCAGCATTTCCTCCAGGACCCATTTGTCTCGTGTTGACACGTCACACAGTCAAGACGCTGCTATAAGAACCACTTCGGGCTACGACGGGGCTCTGGCTTTGTGGTCGTTCCTTTCGTGTAGGATTGTGAACCTATTCGTGGTCTAGGCTCGCCGTGGCCAGAAACAAATTCGCTTACTGTCTAACCACTCCTTGTGGTAGCGCGATGAACTGCTCGCGGTCCGCGCGGATTCTCCTCCTCCTTCTCCTCCTCCCCCATTCCTTGTCCTTCACATAACTTCTCCCTGTCGCACCCAGAGGTGTGTGTGTGTGTGCGTGTGTGTGTGTGTGTGTGTGTGCGTGTGCGTGTGCGTGTTTTTTGTGTGTGTGTGTGCGTGTGTGTGTGTGTGTGTGTGGTGGTGGGGGGGGGGGCGGGCGGGGCGCCTGAGACTTCCTCATTATTGATGACCCTGAAGCTGAAACCGTGGCAGCAACTTCACATTTTGAAGGCGGGTGGTTTTCGAAATGTAGCTCTCGTCTCGGCGCAGCGCACATTCGTTTAAACAGTTGCAGTCCCTTCACGGATTGAGGGCGGATCGTTTTCAAAATGTGGCTCTCGCCTTAGCGCCGCGCACATTCGTTTCAAACCTGTGCAAGAGTTTCACGCATTGAGGGCGGATCGTTGCCAACATGTGGCTCTCGCTTTAGCGCCGCGCACATTCGCTTTCGACGTGTGCAAGAGTTTCACATATTGAGGGCGGGTGGTTTTCAACATGTGGCTCTCGCCTTAGCGCCGTGCACATTCTTTTTGAACATCTGCACGAGCTTCACGGATTGAGGGCAGTTCCCTTTCAACATGTGGCTCTCGCATTAACGCCGCGCAACATCGTATTACAAGGTTACAAGGGTTTCACGGATTCCCACGATTAGCGTGCCAGAAATTGTGTTCTGGGAAGACTCCCGATTGTGAGGGTGCCACACATGCGTTGGTTCGCGGTGTTGAAGTTCCAAGACTGCCATTCTGGCACGATTCAGGATCGTCAAGCCGCGACAGTCAGGTTGATCCGTGGCGTTGGAGTCCCCAGAACAATGGTTTGGCACAGACGATTGTCTCCCAACGAGGCAGTTCCTTCAGTGGAAATGATCCGTTGTAGGGGCCTATGAAGAGGGAGCTTGGAGGGTTTATTGCAACATCGTGAATGACTCTTTGGTTTGCACTGGTCCTCCGCCTCCTCCTCCTCATCATCATCCTCCTCCTCCTCCTCCCCCCTGTTCCCTTTTCACAAGAATGGTCGCTCAGGAGCGACTTCCACATTCCTTCCATGGACCCGTCGTGGCCACCGACCCGAGAACGGTGCCCGTCCGCGACGAGGACCTCCTGAAGCACGGCTGCAGGATGGATGGAGGGAGGGGGGGAGGGAGGGGGGGAGGGAGGGAGGATGGATGGATGGATGGTGTGCTCCCTTTGAGCTGGCGGCGGAAGCTTCGGACGAGACTTCCTTTTAGCAAGGGGCCACGACCCGGGGAGGGTTCGGAAGCGACCTTGCTGCGACGGCTCTGGAAGACAGATCGCCAGCTCTGAAGGGGTCGAGGGGAGGGTTGGTAAGAGCTGTGCACTTTCCAAGACCTGCGCGGAGTCAAGAGGGCGGCGCACAGAACCGACCCTGGAAAACCGTGCAAGCCTTTGAAAATTCCCACAGTTCCAACAAGGACCTCCGCCCGAAACCCCGGCCAGGGCGAAGCAGAAGAGGCAACTCAGAGACTCCCCGCCATATGTGGGGGGGGGGCCAGGCAGGGAGCACCTGCCTGGGGCTCGTCCGATCCCCCCACGCTGCCTGGTCGACGTACCCCGCAGGTACGGGACGGTGACAGGAGGAGGGAGAGGAAGCCACCCCAGGGAGGGGAGGATCCAGCCCGACCCGACCCGCCTGCCAGGAGACTGGGGGGCGAAAGATGCCGAAGCCGAAGCTTCCAACACCAGACCAGAATTTCCAGGCGAATCCTGCCGTGACCACGACGAGACCCCAAAAACGAGCAGCGGACCAGGAAACAACCCCCTCAGTGCCCCGGGCAGAGGGGAGGGAGGGCGGGAGCACACGAGGGCAAGGAGGGAGGCGGGAAAGGGGATGGGCAGAGACCCCCAGGACCGAAGGCACAAGTTTTCAGAGCTGCCACCGGACAGGGCGACAAGGGATACCCCAAGAGCCGAGGAACGGGGACGCGATCAGGACCCCCGACGGAACACCCAGGGCCTCCGAAGGCCCGAAAGGACCTCCAGGACCTCCAACGGCCTGCCCCCACGACGACTCGAGGACTCCCGGCGGCCAATGGCAGCGGCCTCGGCGCCCCGATGCGCGCTCCAGGGCCTGCTTGCCAGCTCTCCCTCACACGGCGGCACGAGGGAACGCGGCAGCCCCCTGCGACGGCAGCGGCGACCCCGACGACGACGACGACGACGACGACGACGACGACGACGACGACGACGACGACGACGACGACGACCGAGGCGACGACGACGACGACGACGACGACGACGACGACGACGACGACGACGACGACGACGACGACGACGACGACGACGACGACGACGACGACGACGGGAGAGGGCACCCCAACTGGCCTCGGAGGGGCTGCCGCGGCCGGCATGCCTCCGAGGGCTGGGCTTCGCACTCTCCCAAGGAGCACGCTCCTGGGCCAGCTTGCCAGCTCTCCCCCACGCGGCGGCACGAGGCCACGCGGAGGCCACCAGCGGCAGCGGCGGCGACCCCGACGACGACGACGACGACGACGACGCCGACGCCGACGACGACGACGACGACGACGACGACGACGACGACGACGACGACGACGACGACGACGACACGCGGCGGCCGACGGCTGCGGAAGCGGCGGCAGCGGCACGACGACAGGGAGGGAAGAGCGAAGGCAGGGAAGGGACCGAGGAGGAGGAGGAGGAGGGGAGGGCGGCCTGGCCCCGGCAGACCCGACCCGCCCGGCCCGGCCCTGCGGAGCGGGAGGACGGGAGGGAGAGGGGACGAGGCGACCCCCCGGGGCCCGAAAAACGGCCTCCTGAGGCCGACGGCGCGGAGAGACAGAACCCCCCCACCACCCACCCCCTCCACCCCCTTTTTTCTACCTATGCTCTGTTTTGCAACTGATGCGCTGTCCGTCACACAATCCTCACAGGAAATGCACTGCCTGCTGGGCAAAAGGCTGGATGGGGGGAGGAGGAGGAATCGGAGGAGGAGGAGGAGGAGGAGACGCAGGAAACATCAAAACTACCTGTGCGGACTTGAACAAAAGGGTTCTGACTCGGCTCCTCTACAGATGCTGCACAGCATCTGCCTGCCGCTCCCCGGGCGCACGGGGGCCCTACCTAGAGTGTGGAAGAGGGAGGTGGGCGGAGGAGAAAACAGAGCGCAAGGGGTAGAGGCTCCCCCGAGAAGTCTTACCGCGAGGCTAGGCTGCCTGGTCAATCAGACGCCGGGGGCGGCGACCATGCTGCTGGCGGCAGGGGCGGCAGAGGCGGGAGCGCCTGCGGGCCGCCAATCCGCTGGGGGGCTGGCGGGGTGCCATTGTTCCAGGGCTCGGTCCAGGCCTCGAGCTTGGCCAAGATCGCCTCCTGGACGCCGTTCTTCTTGCTGGCAGACACGTGCACGTGGCCTCCTTTGCGGAGCCAGACATGGGCTGCTCCCTTCTTGTGCCCGAACTGCAGGAGCACGCCCTTCGGCACGGGATCCCGCTTGGGGACGTGGCACCACTTGCCAGTGGCCATGAGGGGGCCGCTCACCGGGTGAGTGTAGGCCCAGTACAGCACGATCCGGTCCGTCGGGAGGCTCCCGTCTGGGAGCCTCCGCACCCACCTGTCCACGTTGTGCTTGTCTGCCTCTGCAGCCGGCGGGCCCTGGACGCGCCCGCTAGAGCGCCGCGCGCGGACTGAGGCCCTCCGCCGCCGGTGGTGGCCTGCCCTTTGGCCTCCTGCTCCGGGGCCGCAGCCCCCTCGGGCAGAACAGCCGACTCCGGGGCCTCCGCGTGCTGCTGGGGCGCCTGCTCCTGGCCCAGGTCAGAGGGGCTCCCTGGGGGCGTTGCTGGCTCCGCTTCCCAGGCGTCCCAACACCCGCCGCAGAAGAACTTGTGCTGGAAGGGGCCCTGCCCCTCTTTGAGCTGGAAGGGAGACAGGGGGGCCCTGCCGCACCAGGCGCAGCACGACGGGAAAGAGCTCGAGTCCTGGCTCTGGCCGGCCCCAGGGCAAGCGCCCGCCTGGTCCCGGGCCTCCGGCGCTGGAGCGGCGCTCCGGGACTCCGCACCTCCCTGGCCTTCCGGGGGCGAGCCGCCCTGGCTGACCGTGAACGCGAGGGCGGGCTGCGACGGGGGGGGGCCCCCAGCGGCCGCCGCGGCTCGCCAGGACTCCTGCTGCTCGGGGTTCATGAGTTCCCACTGGCGCTTTACGGCCCGCCCGTACAAGGTCTTCGAGCAGCACGCGCCTGGGTGTTTGGACTCACTGGTCGCCGCTGCCCGGAGGGTTGCCTTCAGGGACGGCTTGTGGTCCATCCAGTACTTGAGAACATCTTCCTGCTTCAGCTGCTCCCCGGCCATGGCGATCTAATCCGAGGCGGACCACGCTGGCTTCTGGGCGTCCGGAGGGGATGCGGGAGACTGTAGAGAGAGCGGCTGCGGAGAGGGAGGGGGGGGAGCAGCGCACCGGCATCAGCAGGGGAGGAGGGGAGGGAGAATGGAGGGGACTGAGCCAGCGCGCCGTCGAGATTGCCCCTTCACCCCTCCCGCGGCTCAGCGCGACCCATGGGACGGGGGCCTGTGGCCCGTTGAGAGCAGAGGGATGGGGGCAAGGGACGATGCGCTGAGTCGACCCTGGGCCCTGACGTCCTCGCCCTGGCCCGACCTCTCGAGGCCGCCCGATCCACCTCGAGGCACGCTTCTTCGAATAGCAAATCCTGCCGAGGGAGCATCGGCCCCAGCTTCTGACACCAAAGGAGCCCAAGCACTCAACCTCGACCGCCCTCCAGCAACACGCCTCGGCTCGGACCTGCCTCCAAAGGAGCGGCGGAAGTGGAACAGGGGGCGGAGAGGGGGGGGGAGGGAGAGGAGGAGGAGGGAGGGAGGGAGGGAGGATGGAGGAGGAGGAGGAGGAGGAGGAGGAGGAGGAGGAGGAGGAGGAGCACGGAGGACGGAGGAGGATGCAGTAGGAGGATGAGGCCGAGGATGTGGAGGAGGAAGAGGACGAGGAGGAGGTGGCCGAGGAGGAGGGAAGGAGGAGGAGGAGGAGGTGGCCGAGGAGGAGGGGAGGAGGAGGAGGAGGAGGAGGAGGAGAAGGAGGAGGGAGGAGGGAGGGTGGAGAAGGAGGAAGGAGGAAAGAGGATGCAGGATGGAGCAGAAGGGAGGAGGAGGAGGACCAGCGACCTCGACGCCTCCGTGCGACCCCTGCGCGCCCGTGGGCGCCTTGGCCCCTCCCTCGAGGGCCGCTCCTTGCGAGACGAGGCCAGGACAAGGGGCAACGTCGGACAGGGGCAACATAATCTTAGGTCGGGCCTGTCCTCCTACAGGCGGATTTTGAACGAATAATGAAGAACAGTCAAAGAATACACCAACGTTCTCCAAACATCGTCCCCTGTGTTGACTAGTTTGAAAAATACCTCCTGTAGAGGGACAGGCCCGACTTAAACATAATCGGGACTCTCTGAGATCCGGCGGCGCTGGAGGGTGCGTCGGGCGCCGCGGGCTCCTCAGAGCGTTCCACAAAGCTTTGGGAGCGTTCGGGACGCTCGGGAACGATTCATCCCCAGCCTAGCCCCGCCTGACCTATCGTCCCAGGGCCGAATTTTGTGATGACCCCGTGCAAGCCGAACCCAGGGATACAAACATCGATCCTCCATCGATCGATCGACGACTCAGGAGCTGGCCCCAGGAAGCCGAGCCTGAGGATGAAAACGTCGATCGATCGATCGACGACCTCGACCTTCGATCGAACGGTCGACGACCTCGATCCTCGGCGGCACACGCGGGGGCAAAAGCGTAAGGGGCAGGCCTTCCCCGATGGCGCCTCGGAAGCCCAACCGGCCCCGGAAGAGGCCTGGCAAACTCGATCGACGACCTCGATCCTCGATGGCTCGATCGATCGGCGACCTCGATCCGTGATCTATGTTGCTCCCATCCCATCGTACTTGAGGACCACATCCCAAAAATGATTTTGAGCACCCGGAAAAGTGTCGACAGAGTGTCGACAGAGTGTCGGACGAGTGTCTCCCAGGGCCCAGCACGTGAAAACCCTGGAGTTTTTCGGTACCTTTCTGGTGCTAGACATGCTTTCTGGTGATCCAAGCTATACAATAAAGTAGGTTGGAACATCGTCATCCTCGACTGGCCGATTTGGACGCCCGAAATGAGCACGGAAAGAATGTGTACAAGGCCCAACAACAGATGTTGTCCCGAACCACCAGCGGCCGCTGTTGGGCAGGCGGCCCTCTGCCTCGCATGGACACAGGCCGCGGCGGCGTGGACAACGAATCCTGCTCCAAAGGAACAGGATCCGCTGTTGGGCATTGTGCCCATTCTTGCCGTGCCCATGTCGGGCGTCCAGAGATGTGTCGAAAGAGTGTCGACAGAGTGTCGGACGAGTGCCTTCCAGGGTAACTTACTGGTGCTAGACATGCATTCTGGTGATCCAGGCTATCAAATAAAGTAGGTTGGAACATCGTCATCCTCGACTGGCCGATGGCCCTCGGCCTGCCCCCGAGCGGTCGACCACGGGAGGCCGACGGCGGGGCGGGTCGGCGGCCCGCCTTGCCGCCCGGGCCGCGCCCCGAGAAGTGCAGCAGGCTGCGCGCGCCGGCCAGCATCCGCAGCACGCAGGCGCCGGTGCGCTGGCGCAGGGACACGGCGTTCTTGGTGCGGAAGGAGAGGAGCACCTCCCCATCTAGAAGGGTGCTAGGATCACCTTCCAGGATCACCTTCCAGGAGCACCTTCTAGGATCACCTTCCAGGAGCACCAACACCGAAATCTAGGATCACCTTCTAGGATCACCCATATTACCACCAACACCGAAATCTAGGATCACCTTCCCCCTTCTGCGTTCTTGGTGCGGAGGGAGAGGAGCACCTCCCCCACGGGATCGAGGACCGGGGAACAAAAAGTGATATAAACATAAAAACTCGGAGGTCCGCGCGGATTTCTCGGATCGGCGCTGGGGCCCACCGGCGGCGCCTCTGGCGCCGCCCCTGGCACGCTCCGCGCGCCAGAAGGGGGGTCCAGCGCAGATCCGGACCTCCGAGATTTTATGTTTATGTCACTTTTTGTTCCCCTAAGGACTGCACTGACCCAAACATCGTGCGTCTCGAAAAAATCGAGACGGCGATCTGTCACAATTTTCGGCCTCTCGGGGCCCGTATACCAGGCCTCGGGACCGTCGAAAAACGACTCGGGATGAAAAACCGGTCCCGGGGAAGTGGTCGAGAGGTCGGGGGCCCGTGTCTCGAAAAAATCGAGACGCCGGATGTCTGGGGAGCCCAAACCGAAGGGGACGCAGGCGGCCAAGAGCCAGGGACGAAAGAGAGCCCGTCCAGGGGCACGAGGCACATCTGCTGCTCCTCGGGGGAGCTGGCGCGATCCAGGCCGACCGAAGAAAAACATCGCCAAAAGAGGGTCACCGCACACACAGGGTCGCGATGGCCCGACGAGATCCTGGATGCCGCCCTAACAGGATCGAGGACGAAGAGGGGGGGGGAGGGGCAATGAGGCCCTCGTCCTCCTCCGCCTCCTCCTGCTCCTCCTCCTCCTCCTGCTCCTCCTCCTCCTCCTCCTCCTCGTCCCTCTTCTCCTCCCTTTCTTCCTCCTTCTCCTCCTCCGCCTCCTCCTCCTGGAGGCGGAAGCCGTTTCGGCACGAGCTCTTTCAGGGGCCCGTGCTTGTGTTCACGTACTTCGAAGCGGCTCGTGAACACGGGCCAATTCACAAGCGCACGGCGCCTTCCGCTGCAGTTCCCAGCAGCCTCGGATGGTGCCAAACCCGCCTGATGTCTTGCCTGGAGCCAAGACTCCTTTGTGGAGTTGCAGCTGCGGGTGCCCCGACAATTGGGCGTCCAGAGTCATATGCAGAGGCTGCGGCAAGGATGCCCCAGTGCGAGTCGTCCAGGCAGCTCGCAAAGCATCAGCGGCACTCAAGTCAGGAGCGGTTCGTGGGCCCCGTGGTGCCTGGGCTCAAGGGCCGCCTCCGATCGGACCCAGCAGCAAGGAGATGCGCCTCATTCAAGAACTCAGGGCTGAGGTTGCTCAGCTGGCGGGCAAGCAGGCCCCCGCTCGGCCGCCATGGCAGTCCAGCTCTCCTTCGCCGCCGCGGGGCACAACTGGTGGTTCGTCTGCCAGGCTCTCGTTTGCTGACGTGCTGCAGTTCCTCAAGGACGAGGGCGTTGACACGGCGAAGGTTGAGGAAGCAGAGCAGGCAAAGAAGCAGGCTACGGCAGTCAAGCAGCCCACGTCTAGGGCGGCACACTGGAAGGTCGAGAACCTCCGCACCAAGCTCTCCAAGGCGGAGGTGCGTGCGGCGGCCCTGCGCAAGCAGCAGGAGGACCTGCAGGCCGAGATCGCCGAGCTGGACAAGAGCGTCGACAAGCTCAAAGAGGATCTCGTGCAGGCTGAGCAGGCGCTCTTCCGCGTCCAAGCTGATGGCGATCCGCTCAGAGCAGTCACGGCCACGCTTGACGAGGCCGTCGCCCAGTCCGAAGAAGGTCAAGCTGCATTGGCCACCCTTCAGCGCCTGCAGGCCGAGGCCCAGGCAAAGAGGGCCGAGGCCAACGGGCCTGATGCTCCAAGTGCTCCTACTGGTCCTGCTGCTAGTGGGGCGAGCAGCGGCGAGCACATCGCTGCTACGGCAGGAGATGGAGACGACATCGACATGGACTTGCTGGACGGCGACGACTTTGACGAGCGCAGGGCAGCCTTCGACAAGGCCGCCCAGGAGCTCAAGGAGGCCAAAGGAGGAAGTCAGGATCTGCTCGACGCCGCCAAGCGCAAATACCTCGAGGCTGCAGAGGCCATTGGGGTCAAGCGTGCTCGGTCGTGCTCCTGAGCTGCGAGCAGGTGTGAAGGTCACGCCTCCAGACAGAGGCGTCAAGGAGCTGTCCAGATTGAAGGACTTCCTGAGGTGCAACCTCTTGGACCGCGACTGGGAGCAGGCCACGGGCTTCGCTGTGCCAGCCACGCGCGACGACCTGCTGTTCGACTCGATGCAGTTTCGCCATCGTGACGGGACTATGATGGAGCTGGACGAGAAGGACTGGCCCGTGCTCGGATCCGCGTTGGCGGGGAGCGCGTCGTCGTATTTCATGGGCAAGGGAGGGAGGGATTCAGCCCCTCGAAGTCGCACTCCCTTGCCCGCATCGTCGATGGCTTCCAGCTCGAGCACGGCGACTTCGGCATCTGCGATGAACCCCCAACTGGCCCGCTCCTCGGGGTTGGGGCAGGTACACTGCATAGGCATATTCCCCAACTGGCCCGCTCCTCGGGGTTGGGGACATGGACAGCGCAGAGGCTACTGCCTCAACTGGCCCGCTCCTCGGGGTTGGGGACATCTTCGGGCTGCGAGGCCAGTGCTTCGGCGTGGACGGCAGGCGCGCCGACGCAGACGGCTACGGCGCCTACTCTGGGTTCCTCGCCCCCCGAGGGCACGCACTGCTCAGCTCTGGCAGCTGGCCATCGGGGCGCAAGCGGGTACCGACCTTCGGCAGCAGCCGTCGGCGCGCACAGCGCAGCGCCCCCAGGCCTGACTGCAGGAGAGCCAGAGGGTACCGACCTTCGGGGGATGTCCTCGTCGCCTAGTGGCTCGCCAGCCGCGCCCCATCCTCCCCATGTTGAGCTGGATGCTCTTCCGAAAACTGGTAAGTCAGGACGTGTTGGAGGGCAGCGCGCAGCTGTCCCCGCGGTGGAGAGTTGCTTTGCGGCCATGGAGGCAAGGCTTCAACCTCAGCCTGTGGCCGTCAATAGGCTCGTCATCACAGGCATGAATGTCAATGCCTGGAACACTTTCGAATCTGTGATGGAGTGGATGGCCGACGAGTCCAAGGCTGGCGGGGCCCAGATTCTGCCGCAGGTGTGCTGCCTACAAGAGACGCGCATCAAGAGTGACACCAAGCAGGTCTCCGCCATGAGCTGGGGACGTAGGCATGGCTATCACTTTTCTTCTGGGAAGGCCCATAGCACGGGGCCATCGAGTCAGCAGAGCAGCTCAGGTGTGACAATCGGAGTTTGCACATTGCTAGGTTCGACGCCAACGGCGACCACGAGTGGTGGCCAGGATCGTCAATGTAGGGTTCCCAAAGGGCCTTGTCGTCCTCAGCGTGTACTTTGTGACGGGCAAGGAGCTCTCTGGACCCAATCTGGACCTCTTGCAGACGGTCGGGGCCTACATAATGGCCCAAGACAGGCCCTGGGTGCTCCACGGGGACTTCAACTTCGAGCCTGAGGCGCTTCAGGGATCTGGGTGGATTCAGAAGGTTCGAGGAGTATTGGTTGCTCAAGTGTCCCCTACCTGCAGGACTGTCAACTCTCAGGAGGCCCAACAGGTACCCCAGAAGGACCCGCAGGGCTCCTCGGACGACAGGATCATCTCGGGTGGAGCAGCTGAGTCAGGCCAAGCAGGTGACAGTAAGATCCTCGACTTCTTTGTGGTTGCGGAGGTGTCGGCCTCGCGTGTTGAGGAGATCTCGGTCTTGGACCAGGCTCCGCTCTACCCGCACGTGCCAGTCGTGTTAAAGCTAAAAGATCTGAGCCATGCGTCGACGATCAACCAGCAAGTACGGTTCAGAGCGTTCCCAATGGAGCTCACAGGTCCCATGCAGGCCCCTGTGGCGTACAATTGGTTTTGGGAAGTTGGGGCCTCAGCTGATCTCAACCTCATGGTGAAGGAGTGGTTTGAGTTTTCGGAGAGGCGCCTGATCCAGATTCATGGGGTTGACCCGCTGTGCTCCAAGGCTTTCGTGGGCAGGGCAGCTGGGCCGAAATCAAAAGTTGTCTCCTTGGCCTCGGTTTGGGAAAGGGACCAAAAGCGCAGGTTTTCCAGATCGACGACGGCTTGGATCTCGTACGTGGCACTGTGCAGGCGAGCCTGTCAGACTCGCGTAGGCAAAGCAGGCCGTCAGGGCCGCATGCTCCTCGATCAGTGGTCCAGGGACCTGAAGGCCATGGTCGCCGACATGGGCCCGTTCGCTGCTGATGCCGAGCTCTCGCCCAGTTTTTTGTGCTCCTTCGCTGATGTCATCACCACGGGCGATGACCCAGTCCACGATGCCCTGCATAAGATGGACGAGGAGGTGGACAGAAGGAGACGGGAGGACTCAAAAGTATCATTGAAGGAGTGGAGGACCTGGGCGGTGGAAAGTGTTAAAGGAGGAGGGAAGTCAGCGCACAAGTTTGCAAAGCAGAAGGCATCCAACGTCACTTCTCTTCTCGACGCCGAGGGCGTCCCACAAGTAGGTGCTGGAGCTCTGTCGGCACTTCTAGACCAATGGGTGCCGCTGTGGTGTGTAGCTGATAGGCAAGATGAGCACCCGTCCCAGTGGTCTGTCCCTGTAGATGAAGCCCAATTGGAACCTCTAGCCCTGGATCGGCTCCTGAGAGTTTGTCGTAAGTATGGGCCTGGTGCAGGCTTGGGCTGGGATGGTTTTCACCCAAGATGGGTGCTGGGCCTCACGGAAGAACACCAGCTAAGGCTTTTAGATATTCTGCACAGGTTCGAGGACAGACCACAGGAGCTTCTCGTCTTCTTGACCAACATGGTCTTCCTAGACAAGCCCGACGGCGGCGTGCGCCCCATCGGCCTCCTCTGCCTGGTGCTGCGCTTGTGGTCGAGACTTCGCCAGCCATATTGTCAGGCATGGGAGACGAAGCGTGCAGAGGCCTTCTATTGGGGCCCTGGGC